TGGTGGGAGATTCTAGCGAGAGATATGGATACAAAAAAAGGTGTTTTTAACAGCAAGCCAAGCACACAGCTGATGCTGACAGCCCCGCTCCTGCCGCTCACTTGCGGCAGACCACGCTTGAAAGTTTGCCGGGGAGACGCCCGAGGCCTGTACTACGTAGCCGGATTTTCGCTTAGCGGGCTAACTTCAGGGAAAACTCTGGGTTTCCGGTCCTACGACGCTGGTTCTCTTTTTAGCGGGCTAGATCTCCATGGTAACTTATGCTGAGCGGCTAACCTGCTCCGGAGCAGGTTACGGCCTGTCCACACGGCGGCATGCGTTGTCGCTTGCCGGCGGGGGGGGCTGAAACTTGACCAACAACCAATCACATGAATCTCCCGCCCCGGACACACAAGCACGCGGTTTGATTGGCTAGAGCTTGTACTGGCATATGATTCGATTGGCTGACGCTTCCGCCGAATCTTCAAAAGTTGAGCATTGCTCAACTTTCGTCGCGAGCAATGCGAGCAAATCTACGCTTCGCTCCCACAATGCAGTTCGGCGAAACGTGACGTCACCCCATTCAAAGTGAATGGGCAGAAGCGTTGAAGCTTCAACGCACACCGCCGTGTGGACGGGCCGTTAGGTTGCAGGCTAAGAGATCAACTCAGTGAAAGCACCGCCTGCTGACCAATCAGAGCTCAGTGTGCGGAGTTTAAAGCGATCAAGTCGTATTACAGGAGAAAGGAAATACAGTTTAAACGGCCGTTGCAGGAAAGACGGCCGGCCAAAATCACAGACTGTGTGAACGTAAAAATGTATAGAATATTCCCTCCCATCTTCAGAGCAATCTGACTATTATAACATTAGCGTTAAGAAAGCTTACTTAAATAACGAAGTAACAGTACAGTCTGCGGCATATCACATCATAATGTATCATATATTTCCTTATCTGAGTCAGCTTCTTGAGCCGTATCTGGCCGTGCAACACTCACGGGCCGTCTCCACGGCAGCGTTAAAAAAATCTTGGAGGTGGGCGTATCTGAAGCTTGGGGATTTTTTTGCGATCAACCAATCACATGAATCTCCCGCCCGCGACATACGAAGCCAAAAAGCCCGAAGTAAACTGGATATAAACTCCCCAAAACAGGCGAAAACATACCACTGTCTCTGCCACCTCCCTCCATGCCTGGCTCCTCCGGTTTATATCCCGGTAGGTCTGGTCATAAAGCACCGGGTGATTGATTCGCTACCGCTAATTTCTCCTCCATTTTTTGGAATATGAGGAAATGATCTGCGGTCTGGCTCTCCCAGCATACACGCCGTTTGATTGGCTAGAGCTTGAACTGTCAGATTTGCGTACACGGGATTTGATTGGCTGACGCTTCCTCCTCAGCTTCAAAAGTTGAACATTGTTCAACTTTGGATCTTGAAAATCCTGAGAATCTCCGCTCGCCTGCCCACAATGCATTTCGGCGAAAGCGAAAAAAAGTGACGTCACTCCATTCAAAGTGAATGGGCAGAAGCGTTTCAAGATTTTTTAACACTGCCGTGGAGACGGCCCGTCACAGTGTCACATATTGTATGCAGAAGTATTATTTTAAGCAACACATTAAGTTGACGAAACACTCGAGTCAAATGTAATTAAAGTCAGATCGTGTCTTAGACGGGACAGTGATATCATAAACCTGTTAATGTACGCATTCAAACACTTTTTCTTTTACCAGCTGTATTCACCTTGCAGGTGCAGCTATGTGGCTTTTATCCTGGATAAAGTGTTTAAGTCATGGATGTTTAAAGTTTAACTTCTTCATATGTCTAATATTATAGTTGACTTTTCATTCAGGAAGTATAATAATAGCTTGCATTTATATAGCGCCTTTCAAGGGACCCAAGGTCGCTTTACAAGTAATAGGGCAAAAACAAACATAACAAAACAAAAGTCAGACAGACAAAACAACAGATCGATTAGGGGCCGAAAGCGCTGCGCTGTCAGTACGCTTCTCCATGTTTGTGATTGGTCGAATGCTCCAAATACCACCCCTTTAATGTGAACGCGCACCTAACTAGATAGGACACGGCTGGCTTGAGCGATCCACTTGATAATCCGCGTCGTAGGACCGTTTAGCGAGAGCGCGTTTGTTTTGGATTACCCCTAGATTCCACCGGATCCGTCTGCGGCGCGTTACGACCGCGCCGCGGCGCGTTACGACCGCGCCGCGGCGCTCACAGCGATCGCGGCCACTCTAGTCAATGGGTGCTATTCCACCACACGCGGCGCGTTACGGCTCAGAAGCGTCCCAGAAGCGTCCCAGAAGTGTCCCAGAAGCGTCCCAGAAGCGTCCCAGAAGCGTCTCGGCGCAGGGCTCCTATAGGATGAATCCTATTTTTGGCGCGGCGCAGCCGTAACGTAAGGTCGGGCAGGCAGGAAGTGGAACGTTCAAAGCATATATAGCATATATATATATATATATATATATATACACACACACAAACTAATTTTGCAGACCCTATCCCTCCGTAGTCTTTCAAGTAGGAGGAGAAATGCCAGCGTTCTCCTCCGGTTTACAGGCACTGTGTAAATTATATATATAGAATAATTATGATGATGAATGCATTTTTTTACCACTAAAATACAGCAACACATCTTTGATTCATGTCGTTTATAACTGGAATATTACAGTTATTATTAACTTTGTCTGTACAAAGTAGCCTGTCCAGGAAATATGCCCAAATCAACAAAAACTGCGAGCCGGCAGGCAAGACGCTCCGCTTCTGAAATGCTTCTGAAACGCGCCTGGTAGGGTATGACGCCGGAGGAGGCCGGACCAAAACCGCGGCGCAGCCGTAACGCGCCGCAGACGGACCCGGTAGAATCCAGGGGTTAGGCCAACCGGCTAACTCAAACATATCCAGGTTAGGTTGAACCGGCTTCGTAGTACAGGCCTCTGGACACGGCGTCTACGAGCAGCAAGCTTTCAACAGCGATAGCTAAATGGTTGGCGGTGGCTACAGCTTGCAGGACAATTAACATTGTGGAGGACGAGGGGCTGCGTTAGATAATTCGGATCGCATCCAACGTGTCGACTGCACATCACAGCGCATTATTTTGACCCACAGTGGGAACTTCAGTCTCATGCTTTGACTGAAGATGAAGACAGAGGAGCGGCATTTCGCCGACAACTGTAAACAGGTTTGTCTGTTTGAGCAACTGGCTCAGTGCAACTAAGTAGACAGGGTTGGGAGAGAGTGTAAGAGAGAGAGAGAGGTTCCAGGTTGTTATATTGAAAATATTTAGGAGAATATTTGTCATTGTTCCAATGATAATAAACAAACATTTGCATAAAGCATATTTGTCCACTCATATGTTGATAAGAGTATTAAAAACTTGAAAAATATTCCTCTAAGGTACATTTAGAACAGATACAAAATGTGCGATTAATTTGCGATTCATCGCGATTAACTATGGACATCATGCGATTAATCACGATTAATTATTTTAAGCCCTAGTTAAAACTATGGAAAATTCCCTTATTTATGCTTACAATACTGTCCAGTGAGTGTCCATTAAACTAGCAAGACACTTAGGTAAGCTTTAACTAAACTACATCTCAAAAACAACCAACATGAAAGGCCTTTGTGGATGACCACATTACAATTAACACAACACAGGATAAGTATCATGTTACACCATGTTGTACCATCCTCTGCACCCTGACCACTCCTCACTGCAAAGGTAAATTAAGGGTTAAGGTAGGCTTCAATGGTATGGTAATGGAAGGGTTACTTTGCAGGTTAAGGTGGTTTTGAGGCAGAGGGGTAATAAAGACTTGGATTACTAGACTGAAAAGGTGAGATGACAAATGCACACCTGTGAGTCTAAAACACGTATACACCCTCTCACAGACAAAACATGCTCGTGATAGCTAAAAAAAGAAGATTCTACAAATAGCATAAAAGAGAATAGATATTTAAAGCTTTATAAAGGCAGTAGGATTGTCATAAAGAGGATGAGGAAGAGAAAAGAAAAGGGGTGGGAGAGAGGATGAGAGAAAGGCAGAGTGGCATGGGATAAGCCTCTGTCATTAGATGTGGGATTTTAGCAAAAACCTGCAGCGAAGGCAGAAGTAAATGAGATTAGAAAACAAAAGTGGCAGAGTGTGGCAGGATGGAGAGTCTCACAATAACTGCAGGTGGAAAAGGACCAAAGACTTCTAATCTTCATTATGTCCACTGGTTTCTTATTCACATCTGATCTGACTGGTCTGTTAACATTCATAGAATGCTTTATTGTGCTTCTGCGCCTTGCACAAAAGCTTTTGAAACTAAAACAGGTGACATTTCAAAGATATAACACAAACCCTGTGTTCTCAAACTGAAAACATAACTCTTGTGAGACTAACCAATACCAACTGAAAAAGATTTTCTGGAAAAGCAATACTAATTTCCTCCCAATCCTCTACTTCCACCATCAGGAAAACAACACATCCAAGACACACATTCAAGACACACATTTCCCCACATGCACGCACAACTCTTTCAACATTTTCTCCTTTCCTGATGTATGCCCAGATGAACAATCTGTTAATCAAATCCAATTGAGGGTAACCCACAAAATGTTCTCACTTACATGTGCTCCCTCTTAAACTCCACTCTCCATCTGTCCAGCCAAGCTATTATGTTACTCAAGGAAATCACTCTAATGATCAGCACAGATGCTAAACCACAAATACAGCCGAGTTGACACAAAGTCAGAGCAAATCCAACACAAACACCTACACAGGGTATTCCCCAGCTCCAGTATGACTTCCAGAAACTTAAATCATGTCTTTAGGATATTGAATATTCAAATATAACAGAAAAACAGAGCATAGACATTAAGTCACATTCACAATGTTAACCCAACACACCAACTACTTCCTACATCAGTTATTTATTAACTTAACCCTCCTATCAATATCTGCTCACAGATTATGGCACAAACAGATACTATAGGTAATGTCAGGAAATGTAAATCTCACCTTCATCCGCAGATTCCTCCGCCTGCGTCCCGGTTCAGTCCTCAGCCCCTCCTAGACACTTTCCCCCTTGGCAGGTGCCATCATGGTCAAATAGTCCACAGGAAAGGGCTTTAAAGGATTCTCTAATGTCCCCTGTCTGTCTCTTTCTTTTACTCCCTCTCTGAGTCCTCCTGAGATTTGTATCACCACAAGAAAAGCAGCATGTGTGTGTGTCAGTGTATGTGTGCACACAACTCCAAAGGTCCTGGAATTCCTGAGTCCTGCGCTAAAGAGCGAGCGTGGTTGAGCTCCCTCTCCGTCTCTCTCTCTCTCTGCACTGCTTTTCTTTTTCCTCTCGCTCCCGGACGGGCAGAGAGGAGGGAGGACAGTCAGGGGGTGGGAGGGAAGACAGAAGCTGCTTTCAGCCAACTCTTTCTCTATCTCTTCGTTCTCCGCCTCTGTCCTTCTCCCCGAGTCTTTTTGCCTAACTTTTACTTGTTCTCTTTGGGCTTGTTCCTGTGACAGATACTCTTTCACTGCTCAGCAAGGCGTGAAAGCAAAGCTCTCTCTGTCACACACACACACACACACACACACACACACACACACACACACACACACACACACACACACACACACACACACACACACACACACACACACACACACACACTCACACCCTCCTCTTTCTTTCCACGCCACTCCCTCTGCCACAGTCCAGAGGTAAAGTCACTCCCTCGCTGTGTCACCAGCCGCAGTGTCTTTCTTCTGCTGTTATGATTCAACATGCTTTATCACCCCAGATGTCCTACTTTGTTGGTCCAAGTGTCTTCGTGATGCAGAAAATCTTTTGGCCGATCTATTTGTGATAAGGATCAGGGTGAGACTGGGATAAGGGTAGACTTCACACTTGGATTCTGTTTCAGTTTAAAGTTCACACATTCTTCCAAATGTCAACTCATCCATGAGTCCATTGTTCAAGACAGAAAGTGTTCGCATAAACTTCTCTTCTGTTTAAAATATATAGATTGATTTAAGTGGTTGGGTTCAAGGTTCAGACCATAACAATAAGCCCTCCACTCTGATACCCTTAACCTTTTCACCTCTGCTTTGCAACTTAACAAAACAGATTAGGGATTTAGGGTATGCTTGTTTAACATGTGTTTGCTTCTCTGATTTGAGCTTGTCCTGGGAAAACCCGTGAAGGTTTGATAGAACAGACACATTTCCTCCCTTCAGCCATAAATGCATAAACAGTACAATAACATCAATTGACGCTGGGGAGTATAATTTTGGGACTAGCTTTTTAAATCTGTTGTTAAACAATAAAAGGAAAGAAAAAGAGATTGATCCTCTGTGTCTAGATTTCTAATGCTGTGGTAGAATCCCAAATTACAAACCTCATCGCCAGCCAAGAACCTTGATATAGTAGGACTAGAATCTGCACTTGGTTGAGGGCCAGGAAAGATTATTGTCATGGAAAAGAAATTATGGTTTTGGCAACTATAAGAGATTGTTAGATTGTCTTAGTATGGTGTAATGTTAGACAACTAAAAAAACTTGATTAGGGTCTATGAAAGATTGTGGTTAGGGTTATAGGAGAACATTAAGTGGGGGTCTGTATTAGGACCACAAAACACGTCCACCAGCTCCCCAATCTTGCGTTCTGCCTTGCTACTACAGTACTTCCTGTACTGGCACTCAATGGATGTACCAGACGTGAACCCTACGGTATACATCGTTCAAATGACATCCCCTTATCCTCCTTGTAGGGAGTGGTGAGCAGACCTGTGTCTGAGGACTGGGGTATAAGGGTGGATGAGGTCTGATAGTACTGACAGGAGAAGGCATGAAGTGGTTTGTAGGTGAGGAAGAGGATTTTTTGGGATGCAGGACTTGACTGGGATCCAGTGAAGCTTGGTGAGGGTGGGGGGGATGTGTTGCGGGTTATCTCTGGCAGCCCATGTCCAGGGCTTTGAAGGGTACCCTGGAGAGGACTCCATTGCAATAATCCAGACAAGTGGTGATTGGTGGAAGGTCAGTCACAATAGCTTTTACTTACTTTGACACTGTGTTCACCATTGCACACCTTTGCCTTAAATAAAAAGTGATTCAAGAAGGGAAAGAAAACAATTCTCATTGCTAATGACCTCGCTAATACTCCAACTTTTTTTGTTTAGTTTGTTCCCTAACAGGACATAATTAGTACCGACAACTGCTGTTGATCATAAGTGCACATAAACATGTGTTAACCCCTCAAAGGTCAGCTTTGTCAAGTTGGTGTCAGTTAGTCAACAGTGTGATTTGTATGTCAAAGTTCATCAAAATTGCAAGGTTGGATCATTTCAGTTGACGTCATTGTGGAATGTATACCAGTATATTACTTGCACAGCTGACCTGTAAATGATTTACTTACAAGATATCGCAACTCTGGTAAATATAATGCAATGTATATGAAGGTTAATCCATTAGACAAACAAAGGGAGAGAATGAAACAAAAGGAGACCATACATCTACAAAAATCAAGACCTTCTGTGGCACACTCACACCAAACATGGACTCATTTATCGTTTTTATAATCAGGTCCCAGACAGCGGGGCGCAGCACAGTATCAGCAATGCACACACACACACACACACACACACACACACACACACACACACACATACACACACACACACACACACACACACACACACACACACACACACACACACACACACACACACACACACACACACACACACACACACACACACACACACACACACACACCACACACACACACACACACACACACACACATGCACACACAAACACCTGCTGATGGTGTGCTCATGTAACACACACTCACACACAAACACACTGTGTCTGTCTGGCGTCTAGCTGGCACCATTCAGACGGACATGTCTAGAGGATGCAAAGGTAGCCAATCACCACTGCCAGTCAGCAGCGGTTCATTATCACACACATGTACACCCACAGGGTTGGTCCTTGGGGGGGGGGGTGTGTGTGTGTGTGTGTGTGTGTGTGTGTGTGTGTGTGTGTGTGTGTGTGTGTGTGTGTGTGTGTGTGTGTGTGTGTGTGTGTGTGTGTGTGTGTGTGTGTGTGTGTGTGTGGACTACTGGTGATCTGCTGCTGTATGTGTCTTCCTTGTCTTCCTTAAAGTGACAGGACTAAATCATTTGACATATTCGGAAGAAACAGAAAGCAGTTGTTTTATAAAGCTGTATCAACAGATGTGCCCTCTGTTGGCTGCTGTTGTGTGTCTCCTTCTGATGTGATCATATTACAACCAGCAGTTTGGACTAAAGCTGCAATGTCATCTAAATGGACAGTTCTTCTACTTCTTTTAGTTTTGTTTTCTACAAATTAAACTCCCATCTCAAATGTCCCTATCATCATTGTATTCAAGAGACTACTCCATTGTAATCATGTTTTATTCATATGGATTTCTTTTTAATTTTTATTCTGAAGATTTTATAAAAAATGTGTGATGCAAAGATTAGGTGAAAATTGGCTTTCAAAACTACCATTTGCATTGATGAGTATTATGTCTGCTGACAATTTATTATAAAAAACATATATAAATCTAAAAATGTTCCTACTTTTCCTAAGAAAGAAAAAAAGAAAAAGGAGACACGCATCCTTTAAAGGTCCCGCCCCCTTCTTCTCCACCATGGTTTTTCCATCTTCATAGTGGATTTGTTTTTGTTTAATTCCTTCCTTCCTACGTCCGTCCGTGTCTTTCTTCCTTTCTTTACATCTGCACTTCCAAGCACTGCCCTGCTTTATGTGTGTCTTTTCACATAAACTGATACCTGACACCGGACAAAAGACTGATAAGCTCGTAAAACCCTCTCTGATGTCACAAACCGGACGTAACCGTGTAAAAATGTCACGCTGCGCTGACAACATCAACACCATCACAACTGATCCGGCACATATTTTCCATTGCAACAACAGTGACACACACACACACACACACACACACACACACACACACACACACACACACACACACACACAGAAATACACACACACACACGCAGTTCTAAACCATCCTCTTTGCCCTGTTGCTTCTGAGTACTTGAATTATTTGTTACTGCTGGTGCCTTTTGAAATTTTGTTGCTTATAATTTATTTATCAGTTATTGATTTGCTACGCATATTACACCAGCACATGCCTGACACACACACACACACACACACACACACACACCAAACTACAACCCCTTTCCCTCCCTTTTCATTCACACAGAATTAGGCAGGCTTGTGCAAAGCTAAGCAAGTTCTCTTGTCTTTGTGTCTCTCTTTCTCTGGCTCTCTCCTGCACACACACATATATACACACACACACACACACACACACACACACACACACACACACACACACACACACACAGACTTGACCCTGTTGCCGCCTGCGTCATAGCTAACCTTCTGTGGTTTTCCTTTTTTATTCATTCTACCTTTATCTTAAATTGCCTTCTCCCCTTTAAATCCTTCCGTCATCCATTCATCTCAATCTCCTCTCATCCAATTCTTCTCCTTCACCCCACCCATCTTTTGTCTCCTCCCTTTCACCGTTGATCCCTCCATCTTTAATCATTCACTACTTCCCTAATCCCTCTTTTTCTCCTTCCTCGCTTCCAATTAGTATTTTATTTATCCTCTATTGCCTTTAGTTTAACTTTTGGGCAAAATGTTGACATACACAATTTAAAAATTCAAATAACAATTAGAAAACCAATAGAACAAGATTCATTGGAATACAAATCTAACCCTATTTTCCTCCATGTTTGACTTAATACACCCCTCTTGTTTTTCTATTCCCACAATTTCCCCAAAATCAATTTTCGTTATTTGTACCTTTTCCCTCACTTTCTCTCCATTTGTTCTCCTACTCCCCACAAAGACCCATCCCTCCCTCCCTCCCTCCCTTCCTCCCTCTATCCTTCCGTTTCTATCCTCTGTTTGTTCAAGGCCTCTTTTAACGAAGCCAGTCTCCTCCCCGATCTCAACAGGCTATTGTCAATACTGACGTCTGGCCTCACACACACAGATACACACATACACACACACACACACACACACACATACACACACACACACACACACACACACACACACACACACACACACAGACTCACGCCTGAGCATGGACTCACAAACCAGCAGACTCATAAACATGTTCCCAAAAGTACACATGGCTCTCTATAAAGGTCTCAGCCTCTTCTGTCCTTTGTCCTGTCCTCTAATCGCTTAGTTTAGCTTTTAACACTCCCTCCAAACACACACACACACACACACACACACACACACACACACACACACACACACACACACACACAGTACACACACACACACACACACACAGTACACACACACACACACACTCACACACACAAAAGGAGTGTCAAGTTCACCAGCTCCACTGAACTCCTTTCAGGCCTGTATTCATGATTTAGATTGACAGGGCATTGTAATACATTGAAAAGCGCAACATTAACAACTCGCGGTTCGCGCGTTGCAGTGGCGACAGATTGCAAAGGTACTAAAAATGGAAACCTCACCCTAAATGAGCAAAAT